TAGTATTATTGTGAAAAAAGCGAAGGGCGCTTGATATAAAAAAAATATGACACAAAGCACCCACAATAATACCTACTACTATTTTTCGTTCGTTATTGTTTCGAGCTAACAAAAATATTTTTTTTAACTTTTTAGTTCGATGTTCTTTGAAAGCGTGTTTTTTAGTTTTTTTTAACTATATTTATTTTTCATTTTTTGGTTTCGTATGATACAAAAGCGTTTTTTCAAATGAAGAAATACATGTGAAGTGAGTTCGAATTATATCAAGAAGGTTACATACAGCGTCATCTGCCCGCGAATAGATCAAGCAATAATGTCGATAATTCTGTCAAATACAGATCCCGAGCATTCAAACGGGAAAGAAGAGTTACAAACAAACATACATATATACAAGTGAAGCTAATATATAAGCGTGTTAATCAAAATTAATAATAATTAATATAAAGAGATTGAAAAATATGTAGAACATCCATATGATCGACTTTTTCAAATCTATTTTCAAGCAGTTTTTATCGAAAATTGAAAGTCTCTGAAAGCTTCCCTTTTTACACGCTTTATATCAGCTTCATCTGTATGTATGTATGTATGTTAGTATGTATGTTTGTTTGCTTGTAACTCCGAAGCTCGGGATCTGTATTGACAGAATTGTCGACATTATTATTGCTTGATCTATTCGCGGGCAGATGGCGCTGTACGTAACCTCCTTGATATTTCTTGAACTATTCGCGGGCAGATGGCGCTGTATGTAACCTCCTTGATAGGTGGTTCAAAAGAAAATCAAAATAAATAAATATAGTTTTGAAAAACTAAAAAACACGCTTTTGAAGAACATCGAACTAAAAAGTTAAAAATATTTTTTTAATAAGCTCAAAACAATAACGAACGAAAAATACTAGTATTATTGTGAAAAAAGCGACGGGATAAATATCAGGCAAAAATTTAAAGGACTATTTTGTATGTATAACTTTCATGTATAATGTATAACATATCATATCCTTTTATAATTGTCTTTTTAACTAGGTTAAGTTAATTTCTCAAATTAATGTGATTAAAAAGAGAATATCACCTTTGAAAGATATCACACTTCTTACGTTGATGGAAGTAATTGTCCGTAATTCTAAAATTCAACCAAGAAAGCAGGGACTACATTAAAACCTGTTGTAAGAATCAACAAGTGATCGAACCTGGTAGATATTTCACTTTGAAGACCGAATTATTAGGAAGAGATTAACTATATTAGCAAACTGATTATAGAACCATAACATTATGATTATGGATAAAAAATTAATGAATTAATTGAAAAATTTTGAAAAAGTTACACTGAGATATATAAAAATATTTTCAAAACAAGAAAATTCAAAATTATTATTTCATATTTCAGTAATTAGTTCCATCAATTACTTTCTCTTTTCTATTTTTATTTATATCTCTTTTTTTGACATCTATTTTCATTTCATTATCAAACTATGTCTATCTCAGACCTCTTCCATCTTTCAATGTTCAAAGTTTTATACCTTTTTTGTATCTATTATTCTTTTTATCTTCTTATCTTTTGAGAACACATCTTAACATGTGCTACTTTCAACTTCGTCGTTTAAAATATGTACATTTTTAGACAACAAAAATAATATCCCTCACAATCTACCAGCATTTTTACCACAAAAAGCCGATTTCTTGAAAAAACACACAATTATATTGCTTTTTCATTGTTTTTTATTAAATAAACTATATATCAAGTCTTATTTGTGTAGGTTATATAACAGGATATTCGCTAGCAATATTTGTAAAATTCAACAAAGAACAACTTATATTATTTCTTGTATCACACAAAATAATATTCACCATGTTAGTGAAAAAGGTGCCATAATGGGGCATTTCAGTGTACCGTTCATAGTGATCCAAAGAGTCCTGCAGTTTCAAGGTGAGACTGTCATAATTTTTCTTCACTATTTCCAAAATTTGTTCCTCACTAGGAGTAGAGAGGTTCGCAGAGGCTAACCACTGCTCGATCTTTGGGTTGAAATGTTTGATTATGGCACGAACATTGAACAAGGTATTGTTCAATTTTAAAGCATCTTCTTTATAATCTCCATCGCCACTAGAATATCTCAGTGCTGAAATAGAATAATTGAAAATGTAATGAAAAAACCTAACTTTTGGTAAATGAATTTAAATGAAGTTTTACATTTCATCATGTGGATATTGAAATATCTTTATCTTTTTTCTTCTTCTGATAATAGCGGTAATAACAACACGTGTTTCTTCAGATGATAGTTGAAAATGAAGAGTGACAATACAGTAATAAATATTTTTTGTCATTTCACAGAACAGTAAAAAATATAAAAAAAACAAATCATCATAAATCTTTTGACCTTTTTGTATATTTACTTTACGGGGAAAAATCTCATTTCAATTACCCTCTCGATCGGTACATATCAGTCTTGTTTTATTCAGGTGTCTTCTTAATGGACAGTGTCCAATAAGTAGCCCTGTAGTTATTGTGAGCCGATCTCTGCTTTGTTGAAGCAGTTCTTTGGTCCTCTTCTTGGACGGTCTCTTCATAAAGGATAATAGGCAAAGTTGAACAACGGTGTGATGCCAAATTATTATCTTTCAATATATTAAAGACTAATTTGTTATCCTTCAAATGTAATCCGGATCATATAATTCTTGAAGAACATATCATCGATCAAAAACTAGAGAACAAATTTTCAAGTCTCAACATAGACAACAACCTGAAATTTTCAACCCATATTAGTATAGTATGCAAAAAATTATTCTCAGTCAGAAAAGCATACTTTGCACCTCACGAATCCCATTTGCAGTACAGAGTTTGTTTCTGGGGGAGCAGCTGTCAAAACTCAATGATGAATCAAGTTTTCACAATTCAAAAAAGAGCAGTGAGGTTCATGACCAGAGCAAGAGTGCAAGATCTCTGTAAGTCCCTTTTTCTAACTCATCACATCTCAACAGTCTATTGCCTCAGTCTACCTAGTGCACAAAAAACACAAAGATAACATCTCAAACTCAATTGAAAGTTATGCCACTAGCCTCACATTCAATATTTCTCTTCCTATCAATCACAAATGGACCACAGATGAAACGTTCAGGTTCTATTCGAACACAACCTACAAGCTCAGATTTTGTTCCCTTTAATAATGAATATTTCATTAATGAATTGTATGTGGAATAATCTTTATATTTCTGAGATATATAAAAAAACTTCAATTCATTACTTACTCGAATATTCCAAAGTTACTCAAAATATGTATATGTATACCTTATAATAAGAGCCATTTCAACAGAATAGCAGAAGAGCACCAAGGCAGTGGAATTAAATGTCACGGATTTATTAAAAATAGTATTTGAAAATATGGTTAACTTTTATTGAAAAATAATTAAAATCATCCTCTTAACTGGGTTGTCTCAACCAAATCTTCATTAAGATTATTTGTAATAAAAAGAACTCACCCATGGAATAAATGTTATCAAAAACTTGGTGCATCCTGATCACTTCGTAGTAGAGTTCATCATAGCTACCAGGGGTGGGTAAAAAGTTATCGCCATATGTTATGAAAAAATTCATCATGTTCACAACTTTAATTGAAAGGACGAATATGTTGATTTTTTTTCCAAGATAATTTTCATTTTGCAATATAAATCTGAGTAACGAAATCAAAGCAGTCCATAATTCTTTCCATACAAAATTCAGTCTTATTCTACATTTCTTTTGGTAACAAAGTATTCTCTGTAAAACTCCAGTGCACAGCATGTACAGTTCCATTGGAAATTTTTTCATCATATGGCTCAAGATGAATTCCACTAACAGATCTGAAAAAGACAATAACTACACATGCTATCATAAAATCATAAAAGAAAAATTAATGAATTAATTCCTTAAATTTGTTCGAGACATAAGATCTGAGAGGTATTTTCAAATCTCTATCTGACAAAACTCAGTCTTGTCTATACATTATATTGATTAGAAAGATATTTTAATAAATTTCATTCATACAAATCCTTTACATTATTTACAAAGCAACCAGTCAATAAATAACTATATAATTCAACATATATAAATGGAGAGAGAGGGATAGCTCTATTTATTTCAACAAAAAAAAGTTTGTTGTGTGTTGAAACAATATAGAAAAAGGTTGGATTCCAAGGAATGCCAAAAGTGGAAGGTACATGTTACAGTTAGTTATCCATGGTCACTCGTAAAAAATATTTTTTGCGAAAACTGAATAAATCATTGCAAAAATCCATCAGTCAACTTATAAAATCAAAATTCACTTAGTTTAGCTTCATGCTAGAAGCAGTTAATAAATGCCTAGGATAGGACATAGGGCAGAAGTTCACCTATCGATTTTCTCAAGTAAAAACTGCTTATATTCACCTGAAGCATTCGAATTGTTTGGGATAAGTTGATTTACATCTATCTTTAGACATAACTGTTTGTGAAATATCTAGTCTATAGTCATTTTGTTGTCCAGTCATTCTGTTCTGTTGATCCTGATCCAAACATAATCTCTACATTTCGAACATATTGTGTGAGGGAGACAAACTCCGTAATTTGATTTTTAACTATGTAAAGTTACAATATACATTCTAATGCAATAGCTACATGTTTTTCGTTGTAACCATTCAGTCTACATAAAATGGATATTTCCAGTAAATTTCGAAATTACATACCAAAGATAAGTAAAAGATAGTAAAATCACTGTAAAAATCTTCATAGCAATGAAAGCAGTTTCAGAATTTATCGCTCAGACACTATGATACATAGGTTATCCAAGATGAAGATATCCTCATAAGGGATTGTTGGGAATATGTCACAACCTCAAGAAACATAAATGGAAACAAGTTGATTTTGCTCAGAAAATGTGGAAAAGTCGAAGTCTTATGAAAGTTTGACAAATCCGAAAACGAACTTTGGCACATGAAATTGGGATATATAAATGAACAAGATCTAGAAGAAGCTGTTAGAAACAAAAGTTTGATAGAGCTCAAATTCACCACTTCTGAGGTACTTGGTGATTGCATAATCTGTTTCAAAGAAAAGATATCAGATTTATTATTTTCTTGAGACACAAACTTAAGAATTCAGATCTGTTCCAAATAGTACAGACAGGTGTGTGGAAGTAAATATTTCATAACTTTTATCGATGAATCCAGTCATACCAGAGTATATTTTCGCAAACATAATAATAAAGTATTGAACTATGTTAAAAAATTCAAATACAAATTTAAACATTTTTCTGGTACAACAATGGATTTTCTCTAACAGCTTAGTTGAATTTATAAATAGAGAATTCGATAGATATTTGAAAGTTCATGGAATCACTTTTAGAACCCCAAAATGAATTGGCTTAGCAGAAAAAAAAAAGTTTGTTGTTGGACAAATGTGGTATGTACCATATCATTCAGATTTCTACAGAATAATCCGAGTTTAACAGTGTACTCTGTAATTTTATTAGAGTACTTTGAAGCTATATTGATGTCTTAGTTCTTTTCTTCTTGAATTTTGAACGAGTAAAAGCTGTCTCATAACTTTCTAGTAAAATTGTATTCTGTTCTTTTCAAGGAAGGCCAATTCCATATCTATATTGAGTTTCAAAGATTGTATTTTCAAAAATTTTGAACACTCTCAAATCTTCTCTGAAAATTGCGTGTATGGATTGGTAACAATTTGAATTTATCAATATATAATATTTTCCAAATAGTCATGACTTTCCTTGCTTTTTTCTTGAAAAAAAGANGTCATGACCTTCCTTGCTTTTTTCTTGAAAAAAAGACCCCGAACAATCAATCCTAGTGGTGTTTTACTCAAAAGTATTTGGTTGTAGTTGGTTTGAATCACTTTTTTCGAAATAAGCAACGATACATTGTTTTGTCATATCAGCAATTTTGGTTTAACATTTTTGTCAATTTCGATAATGGATTGGTCTTAATATGATTAATTTTATTGTTGCATCCATCATATAAAGGAAAACATCTTTTTTGAATTATGGCAACATAAAAAGCTCAAAAAACATAGATACCATTCCACTGATGCATTTTTCAAATATGATGACAGGTACTTCATCAAGACCGGAAGCTATGTTGAAACAACATACATGTGTTTTTTCTTAATAAATAACATTTCAATGAAATGGAAATTTGTTAAGCAAGCAAATTTATTGTGCAAACCAATCTAAAGGTTTACCACAGAAAAAATTCTTTCTGATTTCACACAAAAATGCGTATGGATTTTCCGAATACAAAGAAAACATTCCATATATAAATACTTGAGTCAGGTATAAATATCAATTTCATAAACATATGTCACCTAAAATTAATTCAGTTTTTATGGTTATATGTGGTGATGCCAATATAGTACTCACCCAATAGAGTACAGATCAATGGCTGACTAGAGGTAGTCTTGTCTGAAGAAAGCTTGCGATGTCTCATTGGCAATCTGTGCAACCTCACTTTGAAAGCCAAACTGACGTCATGCATGAGAGAATTTGCATACTGGTCTTCTGTTATGCACCCAAGAATGAGAAAACACAGTTTAACTGTATTGGTACCTGCTTCAGTTTTTGTATCTTGCATCACAATTGAGCTGAAATAACAGATTTTTGGTTAGTTTGAGAAGTGATACTCATCCATTCAGTAAATTAAATGAATACATTACTGTATTCTCTCAATTATATTTTTGGAATAGTGTTTAACTCAGCCTATTCAGCTTTTTGGAGAATTTGTTGAATTAATTCTCATCTTCGAAATTGTTTATTCATCAAGCAATTGAATCAAACATGAAATTTGTTCATAATATGAAATTATAACATTCATGAAAGTTATTATACCCACTATGTTCGTGCACTCGAGTGATAATCTCCTCTGGATAATAAATTATTTTTCATAATATAACTATTATGAAAAAATAATATGCATTAAGAAGGATGTCACTTGAGTTTTTAAAAAAGAAAAAGTATGGTATACAATAAGCATTGTCATAGTTGATATCATAAGTTAAAATGCATCACATAACAAATACAATTCGTTAAATTAAATAATATTTAGAGAAAACAAATTGATGAGGGGAAATCAGTAATTTGGTTGAAATTCCTCAATGGTGTAGCAATTTTTTCTAGATGAGGCATAATTTTAATCTTGACTTGAAATTGATTAGTAGAGTCTTCGTCGGTTACCAATAATTTTTTGATTTAGTAGCTATGATTTTCGAGAATTAATGCATAATGCTAATACCAACTATAATTATGTTGGCATGCTTCTGACGTCTGTAAGTCCTTTGCAGAAAAACCTATATCTGAATCCAAAAAACTATATCTTGAATAGATTCAACAAGATTCCTACAGTGCGATAGCTTCTACGGATCCTAGTAAAATATTTCAATTATTTATCAATTATTTTAAATGTTTATTCCAGATTGCTACTTTTTTCTCTACACTTTGATTTCAAATCTGTTAGTATTTCATATAGAAGTTCAAACTTGCAATGAGTTGATTCTCAGATCATATTTAGTTTAGAAATTAAAATTTATAAAGTCCTTAGTGAGTATGAAAACTACTAAGTAATTGAATTCAAAATTAGTTATTGTGAGAATGGATGTTCAATGGATACCCTACTTTCAAAAAGTTAGGTGATTGATTTGAAACCTTTTTAACTCATTCCTCAAAATTAAAACTTTGAGGCATATCAAAAATATAGTTCATTTCATTTCAGGAGAAGCAGAGATTATTGAAGTTTATCCTAAACTAAAAGAGATGTAGTAGTGATGGTTTGGATTTCGTTTGAAATGAGGCAATTCTCAATTTTGAAGTCCTCCTGGAAATATTTTTCCCATTCCAATACATTTTCTTGATGCATCACCCAAAAAAATAACTTCGATTCCCTTTTTCATCGTTATTCATCCATTTCCAATTTTCTTCAAGTTTTTTATCATTTCTGTCTGTTGCTGAACCTAAATTTGGATTAACAAATTTTTTTTTAACCAAACTTGCAATAACATCACATTCATGGCAAGCTCCTTCATTACTACTGCACTGGACAATTTTGCACTCTTTGTTTGAAATGAAAATTCTCTCAAGTTTCTAGATATTCTGGCAATTTTGTATATAACAATAAAAACTATGGTTTATAATAGCAACTGCATTTAAGAAAAAAGGCATTTACAATTATATTAACCACCGTGATCAAATCACACTACTGAATAGACTGTCAAGCAGAAATGAAATATTCCAGTAACTGTTCAGCCTCAGGGAGATGACATGATAACAAAAGTGATCTTAAATGGAAAACAACCTTAAGTTTTTCTTTACTGCTCAGGAGGTGTTTGCAGCCTCACGGGCTCATTGCCCCATCTTTTTCATGACACCCATTTCAACAATTTCAACCTGTACAAACTAGAATAGGTCCCTTGCTAGATGTATGTCATATTCTTCTGGACATAATTTGGGTTGTCATCAATTACTTGCCTCCTATGATTCATTGCCTCACAATCGTATAAAATATGACGAGCCTTCTCTTGCTCCTTTGTTGCACTGCCTGCAGTTTGGGTCTCTGTTGTACAACCCTATTTTATTCAGGTGTCTTCTCAATTGACAGTGTCTAGTGAGTAGCTGAATAATTGTTCTGAACTGATTTCTGCTTTACATTTATTATAGATCATCTTGTCAATCTTCTTCTCTTCTCACCAACGGCTGATTCAGGGCCTACATATGGAGTTCATGATCTGTGTCTGGCACACTCGTCAGCTTTTTCGTTACCTGTGATACCTTAGTGACCTGGCACCCAACGTAGAGTTCATTTTTTCCCATCCACCAGTTTCCTCAGTTCTTCATGGGATTCCTAAACCAGTCTGGTGTCACTTTTGGGTTCATTAGTAACCCAAGTGTAGTCTGTATGTCTGTGAAATTATAGGCCTCAAATTAATTTTTATTGTGTATTGTAAGATTGCATACACTTCAGAGTAAAAGACTGATGTACTGACAGAGTGGATAACTCAAATGAGGATTTCTCCCTGCACAGTCAATTCCAACTCCTTCCCAGGGTCTAGAGACGCTCTCTCAAGAATTTGTCTCAAGTGGATACTTAGCTTTACATTTATGGGATTGTTGCCTATTTTTTTTTTTTTCTAAAAATACTCTATTTGAATTTTTATAACACTAGAAGAAATTCTTTAATTCCATTTTTATGAATCCATGACAATGCTTATATTTTTAATTAGAACTAGAAAATCAAATCCATATTGGATCCTAAAAATAAATTTAATATTCAGAAGTGGTTCTACTCTCAATAGCATTTTTTTGTATTTCTACACCTGTTTCTTAAAATAAATCATAAAAGCATAAGCATGGAAATAATATGCTGTAGCTTACAGTTCAATAAAAAATAATTTTTTGTTTGAATCTCACCAGTACTGAAAAAATGTAACCAATAAATTGGATGGTTGTGTGGTAACATCAAAAGTAGCAGGTGCGGCAGATAGATCAGGAATATCTTGTATATTGCTCAATGTATTATTAGGAGATGGTGGAGAACTTGCATCTGTCTGTGTCTGAGCCAAAGTCGTGATGAAATTCCTATTCAAGTGTATAGCTTCATAAAAAGCAAGTAACAAAGCATTATTTGCTCTCACTTGTTGCATCCTAACACCACCTTCTTCTGATATGAACATGTTTCCTACAATATTGGTCAATGAAGAAAACCAAGAGGCATTTTGGTTTTCAGCGTGCTCCAGATTGTACTGATTGCAAAATTCTGATAAAGATGATGTTATTACTTGGCCATACCCATTCAATGCAATTTCATCATCTAAAATTGATAGTTTCACTACATACGGATTGGCAGCATGGTATTTTCTATAGTTGACTAGAAACGTTATGATGAGCACAACTTCATATCCATGCCTTTGACGTGTTGGAACATCACAGAGTAACTTCACAAGACAGTCAAATAGAGGTGATATCATAATATATTCAATTAAAATATTCTGGTTTATGGATTGTATACCAGTGATCAAAATGAGGATCAGTTTCAAACATAATCCTTTGACTGTTTCAGTAGATTCTCCTGAAATAAATTATATTTTGGACAACTTTAATTATTAAAAACCTATCTAAGGAAAGTACTTTTTTGGAACTAGACACTATCTCTCCACTTGCATTATGCTAACCAGCATCATCAGGATTTGAATTCGTAGAGATAAATTGGGCGAAAATCGCTTACCGACATCATATATTGAAAAACTATGTTGCATATGGCTAAAACGGTCAGCAATAAAATAGTAGAAATGGTAAGATACAAATTTTATCCACAACAACGCTACCATAGAATCACTCCATGCATATACTTCATCTGAGAGAAAAATAATATTATAAGTAATGCATGAATTGAAAAAAAATGTTTTAGTCATCTACTGACAACGTCAACTTGTTAGCGAAATGCACGAAGAGAGAAAGCTCTAGTTCGTGTGGAAAAGTGTTAGATAATTTTATGCAAGAGGTTGTAAATCTACCATCAAATTGAAAACCAAACCATTTACTCACCTTCAAGTTGGGTTTGGCAAATACTGAGTAACTTTTGTATTTTAACCATTATATTATCAAATCCCGTTAGGAACTCTATGGCATCCATTTGAGTATCTGAGGATTTTTTGAAAATTGCATATAGTAGGGCACATAATGTTAACATTCCGTAAGCAAACCTTATACTATGCTGTTGGTCCAGAATTTCTATACATTGATTAAACAGAAGATTGATGTTTTGCTTAGCCAACTGGAGTTGTTCTGTCGACAGCTTCTGTATTTCATTTTCTATCGTAATAACTTTGGGTTTTAGTAGGAAAAATTCGTCCCAAAATAAAACATTTTGATGAGAAACATCCTCTCCTTTAAGTAAACATTCGTATATCTGCACAACTTTCTCCTTGAATTGTCTTTTTGAACCAGAACCACTTCGTTTTCTAGTAGTCATTTTATTATTAATTTGAAATTTTTGAAGAAGAAATATGTATATCACAAAAACATTATACTTAATACGCAGTAATAAATACTTCTAAGTATGTCCCTTGGTTTCCCAACAGTTTCCCTATTTGGAAGTTATGTTTCCTTTGAAATTTGTTTACTTTTTTATGTCAAGACATCGACCATCTAATCTACCAATAAGTGAGGTTAGGAGGGAAATTTAAATTACGATCCTTCTTTGGATCCTGAATACAGGTATTCATTCTTGTGAATACTTCATCTATTTTACGTATATTCTTGATATTTGAAATATATGCAGATCTAGCAAGATATATGCAGGTCTAGGGACAAATTCCACTTTAATTTTCATCCTATACCATCAAGTTACTCTTGTGAGTTTCGACTTCTGAGAGTTGTCGTTCGTAGGGAGGCGACAGCTGGTTAACGAATTCATACAAAGGGTTTAGCTATAGCTCTGTAGAATGCTTTATGCTCACACTAATGTTTTTTTATTCCAGATTTGAGACATTTCCACCAAAAGTTATTCACTCTATCTGCTCGATATCTTTTGATTGAGTGGAGACAGTGTATAACTTTTCTTGGAAACTACATTTTCTTTTCGACTTACCACTTGAAAAAATCTTTGCCAGCGACACGTAACAAGTGGTTTATACACATAACACGTTTTACTCATGAATCGTGCTTTTAAACAAGTGTTGTTGGTTAGAAGAGTAGAAAAGAACATGATTCAGTTACTATATTTGTTATATTCAAGTGATGGATGATGAAAAGAAAGCAGGACTCATGCAGCTGTTTACTGAAAAAGTGTCCACCAAAAAGTATCAAATGGAGAATTAGAATGGTGTTAGTATACTAAAAGATGTGGTGAGAACATTGTTGTTCAAGAGGAAGTAACATTTTTTTATGCGTTTTCCACTAACTATAAGTCAGCTCGATATGAACCATATTGTTCACATACACAGTACACTTAATCGCCAATTTGGTGGCGAAACGCGCCTGAGGGAAGTTGTTGCAGTTCTAGTCTGTGGGAGTAGTTTTCGTATTTTATTTTCCTTGAGTGAAGTTAATGAGTAGAAATAGTGATTGATGCAAATAGTTATGAAAGATTATCAGCTTTGGTAACATAGTCAAGCGAACAAGCGAATAAGAAGACAACATTCTAGGAGACTACTGAACAACTATATGAAATACATAAAAAAATAACGACAGAATATTTGTACGGTTTTTTATAGCAAGAATCAATTTCTCCCCTGCACGGGGAAAAATCTTATTTCAATTACCCTCTTGATCGGTACATATCAGTCTTGTTTTATTCAGGTGTCTTCTTAATGGACAGTGTCCAATAAGTAGCCCTGTAGTTATTCTGAGCCGATCCCTGCTTTCTTGAAGCAGTTCTTTGGTCCTCTTCTTGGACGGTCTCTTCATAAAGGATAATAGGCAGAGTTGAACAACAGTGTGATGTCAAATTATTATCTTTCAATATATTAAAGATATAAAAGGGTATTTAAAGAAAGTTCACAGAAAGGGGCCATCCATAAAGTACGTCACACGTTAATGGGGAGGGAGGGTATCACCGAAGTGTGACATCGTGTGACAAGG